GCGGGTCTCGAACCTGCGGGCTCAGGCAATCCACTCACCTCAGCCTCCCAAAGGCGCAGGATTACAGGCTGAGCCACCGAGCCCGGCTCCTCATCTCTATTTTTGGCATTGACCCATGAGATGATGGCTTTGTCCCCTTTACGCCAAGGCCCAGAGAGTTCAGTGGCCTGACAGAATATGGCAGTAAATGTGGGCAGAGCCAGGCCTGACCCTGATGGTGGGCTCCAGACACTATGCAAGGCTGACCCAGGGACACAACAGTCCAGGCGAGTGAGGCGAGATAACCGGGGACAGCACAACTGGCCCCCTCTGCATCGCAGAGGGGCCTCTCAGACGAGAGGAAGTGCATGGCTAAGAGGCCTTCCCGGGGATGGTGTCCCTGGACCCCTCCCAGTCAGCCCTGTGGGCCAGGCATGTGGGCGGACTCCCCTTTGGGCCTCTGCCCCAGGCTTATCACTGTGTGCCCCCCTGGACGGGCCCCACCTCTGTGCCCAGGAGGTGTTGCCATGTGTGGAGGCCCTGTGCTGGCTTCATCTTTGGCGTTGCCTACTGAGCTGAGGGGTAGAGGCACACAGGTGAGCGGAAAGCACACGGGCCCTCCTGCTTCCTCTCCCACAAGGACGCAGGGCCACCCAGCCCTTCCACCTCCCTTGGTTCAAGGTCGTGTCCTGCCTGTGTCTCGGGCCAGGCTGGGCTTGCCTCCCCGGGGAGACAGTGAGGGCGGGGACACGCCGGTCTTGGCGGCCTCTGCTTCCTCAGGTCTGTTCCTTCCCTGGCCTGCCCTTTTCCCCGGCACGCTGAGACTCACACTGCCCAGTGCAGCAGCCACCTGCCACGTGTGGCTCTTGCATTTGAAACGTGGCCGGCATAGAGCGGGATGGACTATAGGTGCAAACGACACGCCCGTGTCAAAGACTTAGAAGGGAAGGAAAGGGGGTACGGTACCTCAAGACTTTTGCTTTATATTGACACATGTCCAAATGACAACATTGTGGACACAATGGGTTACATAAAATACATTATTAAAATTAACTTCGCCTGTTCTTTTTTTTTAAACTTATTTAAAACGTGCTCCTAGGAGATATGACGTGGCATGCATGGCTGGCATTTGTGGCCTGTAGTATCTTTCTACTGGACATTCTGCTGGGGACCTTGGCCACCTCCAAGACTGTCCCGAGAGCTGAGCGTCAGTCACTGCCGCACCTTGCCCAGAAGACAAAAAACTGCAGGGGACCTCACACCCTGTGCTGTCGGCCCAACCGTCACGCATATAAACGGCCCCTTCGGAGCAAGCGAAACCGACAGCGCTTTGAACTTCCAGAGAAATCTGATCATATTAGCCTCACTTTCCATTTTGAAAGCCTTTTAAATGATAAAAATGCTTTCTGACAATGCCTTTCATTTTTTTCATATAGGTTTACTTAGCAACAAATTGCTAATAATCGGCCAGGAGCTTCAGCTGCCTGTGCGCCTGTCCTTCCATCTTCCCGGGGGCAGAGAAAGCTGGGCAAAGGGACCCAGCACCCGGCCTGCAGAGCAGCCAGGTCTTTCCAGGGCCAGGTGAAGGCGGCCCCCTGTGGCCCCAGGACAGTCCTGGGTACAGGTAGAAACCTGCAGCTCAAATCCCCCTTCCCAGGTTGGGACCCCTCTGCTTCTGTTTGAGGAATCCCCTGCCTGGTCTGCCGGTCTGACCCACCTAACACAGAGCATGCCCTTTTCACCTGTACCACCATGCTCGGCCCAGGGCCTTCTCTGGGCCCAAGAGGCTATCCCTCTCTCTGCCTTTCATCTAACCAGTCTGTCCTCTAACTCCCAGCTCCAGCTGTCTCTGCTCCGTCTAGGGCTCACTTACCCCAAAGACTTAGAAGGGAAGAAAAGGGGGTACAGCACCTCAAGAATTTTGCTTTATATTGACACATGTCCAAATGACAACATTGTGGACATAATGGGCTACATAAAATATATTATTAAAATTAACTTTGCCTGTTCTTTTTTTTTAAACTTATTTAAAACGTGTTCCTAGGAGATACGACGTGACATGCATGGCTGGCATTTGTGGCCTGCAGTACCTTCCTACCGGACATTCTGCTGGGGACCTTGGCCACCAGAGAGGTGGTATAGGTTGAAAAATTATGTTCAAGTCCCAAAAAGGATTAGATAAGATCCGGGTACCCAAGTTCTGTGTTAGCTGCACGGGTTTGCTGGGAAGTTCTGGTCTCCTAGGTGAGAATTGTGTTATTCTGTAATAATGGGAGCAAGTTGCATGAGTGGAGGAAGCAAAGTTGAACTTGGTGTGTCCTAAGTGCCAAGTTCACAGAGCAAGACTCCTTTGGGACGGCTTCTGAGGGTATGCACACGTGTGTGTCTGCCCTCCCCAGCAGCTGAGATATTAACTGAGTGGGCTCACCTTTATAGACATCCCCAAGGAGTGTGGGGGGTGTGAAGGCCAAGCTTGTTCTTGAATTTAAGTTCTTTTCTGGATGGAGAAGAGAGAACTGCCCAGGGCTGGGGTGGGAAACAGTAGGGAAGAGGAGGGAGGGAGACACCAGGTGCGATTGCGAGCTCTCTGCTAAGTGCTGATGAATAGGGTGGAATGCGGTAACATATTTGATTTTGAACCCCTGTGGGGTTGGCATCGTCCCCTCTTCACAGGAGAAAAAGCGGAGGCTCCCAGAGGTGGTGCCATCGGCTCGGAACCACTCAGTTTGTTGTGGGAGTGCTAGGTTTGAAGCCAGGCACCTCCCACAATGAGCCCCTGTTCCTTGCATGGTCACCGTGGGTTGGGGGGCAGGGAGGAGAATGCTGTGGCGTGAGAATCTGGAGTGGGGACCAAGAGACCTACCCAAAGGGCACACCGGCACCCACTGTCTTCTCATCACCCGAGTTGTCAGCACCTAGGCATTTTCAAGCAGCCCTTTTCCTGATCTGGGTGTAGACACCCATCTGCACCCGAATACACTGGGCATCTGTGAATGGTCTCCAAGAGGAAAGATCAACTCTTCCTTTGTGGGAGAAGCCTCTTTCACTTACTATCTTGTAGATGCTGGTTAGTTTAACTAATCGTTTTTTCCTCTTTGCATTGGCTACTAGGAATCTCAAAAAGGAAAGATGTGTATGTGGATTCTAATACTACTCTACTTCTGGTTGCACTTTATTACTCCCTTTCCCTGCATGTTCTCGTTGATTTATCTTTCTTTTAATCTCTTGTACTGCATACGCGTTCAGAAGCACCCTTTTAAAAACAGGCAAGACGTGTGTGAGTAACCCTGCCTCCCCTCGCAGGGGCTGTGGCCCAGGCATCTTCCCCTCTTCCTGGTAGAGGCCCCGGAGGGCTCAGCGTCCCAGGTGGTCTGGCTGTACCCTGGTGGGCAGGGTGCAGGGCTCAGAGGCTTACGTGCACCAGCTGCTCCTGGGTGTCGTACTCCTTGGTGCAGTCCTCCCAGTGGCAGTTGGTCTCGTAGATGACCACCTCGGCCTCCTGCTTACAGTCATCCCTGTCCAGGTCCTCCTTGAGGTCAGCCAGCTGCTCCTGGGGGAGGAGGGGTGCATATCCACATGAGCTTGCGTGCAGGCACCTGGCCCCGAGGAGTCGGCCTGTGTATTAGCCTGGTCTGCGCCAAGGACCCGGGGCTGGCACAGGCGCGGACACACATGCGTGCACACACATACAACACATGCACACACATACATCAGCTTTTTCAGCACTTTCCCCCCACCCATCACTCTTCCTGTCATCCATCCTGGGGCCCTCCTCCTCTCCAATGCCAGCTTGTCATCTTTATCACGTCCGGGTCGACTGACACGCAAGGAAGACAGGAGACAGGGGTGGAGGGCGGGGAGAGGAGACTTTTGCTTCTCTGTTTGGCTTCTCCTGTGGGGAGCCTGTTTTCCCTGCCCCAGACCCCATGCATGGTTTGTGGTCCTGTATGACAGCGGGAACCTGACCCTCCCTCTCCAGAACACACAGTGAGGTCGGGCAGCCTGGATCTGGACCACCCTAGGGCCCACATGACCATGTCGAGGCAGCAAAGGGAAAGCTCCCGAGATGATTCCTGAGGGTGCCTGAAGTTTCTTTCCAAGAGGACAGTCCTTTAAACCAGGAACAGAGTGAGAGTTCACCCCACAGGGCCATCCCCGCCCCATGCCGATGGCACCCCGAGCTGGCCAGGGCAGCCTCTGTGCAGAGGACTCGGGGATGGGCCAGAGGTCCCCGGCTGGGATCGGGGGAGGAAGAGGCCCCAGACTGGGAGAAAAGGCTGCAAGGACTCCCCAGACCCCACCAGTCTGGCAGGCTGGGAGCAAAGATGAGCCAAGAGGCTGATGTTACAAAGGCTTGAGCTACTCGCAAGCGATTCCCCCAAACGGCAGGAAACTCTAGGGCAAATATGCCGAGTTCAGGCCAAGGGGGATGAGTGACCCCTCTCCCAAGTCCCGAGCCCCGACGTCCTTGGTGCCAGAGACGCAGCAAAGCAGGGGTGGCGGCCGCCCACGTCACAATCTCAGTCCTCTCACGGAGGCTAGTTCTAGGAGCGGTGGGAACCAGCCTCAAGACCTTGCTGGTGGCACACTCCCACCTGACAGATGTCCTCCTGGGGCTGTACAGAGCTCCTCTGAGGTCACTTCTCAGATGACCTTTCTATCAAGCCACTTGTTCTGAAAAGGAAAATGCTGCCACGCTGTCCAACAGCTCTTGGGTCGCTGGACCCGTACCCACAGGAAGGTGCTCGAGCGCCTGCTTCCAGATCTTTTATTTTTTATTTATTCGTTTTTCTCAAGTTGGGGGTCTCACTCTGCCACCCAGGCTGGAGTGAGTGCAGTTGCACGATCACAGCTCACTGCAGCCTCGAACTCCTGGGCTTAGGCAATCCTTTCACCTCAGTCTCTCGAGTAGCTGGGACTACAGGCGCACGCCACCAAGCCCATCTAATTCTTTTTGCAGAGACGAGGTCTCACTGTGTTGCCCAGGCTGGTCTCGAACGCCCAGGCTCAAGCAATCCTCTTGCCCTGGCCTCCCGCAGTGCTGGGATTACAGGTGTGAGCCACTGCGCCAAGCCTTGCTTCTAGATCTTCAGCAACGGGGTGGTCGGGGGCTGATGATGTGGACCGTGGAGACAGTGGACCCAGGGGCTCCTGCTGCTCTCCCTGCACGTTAAAAAAAACCGGAAGTCGACCGACTATTTCCACTGCTGTGTGCCCTGCACGTTCCAGAGAGGACGTGGGAGGCCGACAGTGACGTGCTGAGTGGAGGGCAATGGGCACGGTCCTGGGTTGCACGGGGCATCCTTCTGGCCCAAGACATTGAGGCCTCGGCAGAGAGGGGATTCATGACGCTGCATTTTCTGCCAACGAAGAGGAAGCCCATCCACCTTACAGATGAGTCAGGGAGCCCTTGGCCCGTGAATCAGAACATGAGTGACAGGGGACAACCTCCTCGTGATAAATGGCTTCCCTCCCACTGACACGGGCGCACGGGCGGAGCCCGCCTGGGCTGGAGGACGGGCACAGGGCCCCACGGGAAGTCGACCGTGCGGCCCCCAGGTGCTCAGTGCTTGCCTCCCGGCCCCATCCTCGCTGTTCTGGCCTGTTTATCTTCCCCGGATATGTGCCGTCCTCATTCATTTCAGCGGCCCCCGGTGCTGGTTGGCCTCGTGGAAGCCATGCATCATGCGGAGACCGGCTGTGGTGGCAGTGAGGGGAGAAGAATTTGTCATGAACCTTCTGTTTGCTTGACAATAACAGGGGCTGATATTTCAAGAAAATTAAGTGCCCGGAGCACGCCTGATGGCTTATGGTTTTGATAAAGGATGGTCAGGCAGATACAGGGGCGACAGATAGGAGCCCACGAGCATCTCTGGCACCCAAGCTGGGGATTCTATAGTCATGGATGGAGACCGGGTCACCGCCAGAGGCCCTGGGGAGCCAGGGGTCGCTTTCAAGGTCATGTCACGTCCTTTGCACAGCAGGACCCTGCACGCATGAGGACCGCCTGCATCCATCTAGGAGTGCTGGAATAAGTGGCAGGGTTTCCAAGGGGATGGGCACAAGGTCCCGGCCACACAGCTGGCCAGTCCCAGGCTGTGGGCTGCTCGCTCCACACTCTGCGGCAGCAACTGTTCCCTGTTCCCTCCCCGTTCACCCCCCCACTCTCTTCCTCCAACCCTGCGTGGAGTCATTAGAAAATACCGTTTCACGGCAACGGCACCCCAGGCCCGGTGCAAACCCTGGTGACGCGGAACGCAGTTAGGCACCTCTTCCAGAGTGCTACCTCTCCAGAGCTTGCAGTGCAGAGGGGGAGATGGCCGCCGACACAGCACGTGCCCGGATGTGACCCAGGGGCTAGGCTGGGCATCGGGGCCCACAGCTTAGTCCAACTACCCAGGCGGGTCCAGAAAGTGGCAGTGAAGGGGGTGGGCAGGGAGGGAGTCTAGGAAAGAGGGCAGCCCCGAGGGGCCTGAGCCATTTAGGGGACGGGAACGACTCGGCTAGGGTGACGCTGGTGCTGCTCAAGGGTGAGGCGTGGGGCCAGATGTAAGCGGCCTGAGACAAGAGGAAAGGCCGGGAAGAAGTTTATGTGTTGACTGATTGACTGATTGATGGGCTCATTCATTCATTCAGCACATGTAGCGTGTAACATGTGTGGGAAGTCACAGCTGGGCGTGCCCAACCTACCCTCCCTGGGTCACGCATTCATCCACGCAGGCAGCCACCTGTCCATCCAGTCACCACCAGGGATGCGGTCCCAAGGAGACCCGGCCTGGCCCCACTCTGAGGACAGCGAAGACAGCCGGCGGGCTACCTGTGTCAGCGTCAGCGGGGAGGCTGGCCGCAGGCCCTCGGCCTCTGTCTTGACTTTGCTCCGCTTGTGAACGGCGATGGGGTTGACGGTGCTGCTCACAGCCGACTCACTGTTCTGCTTGCTCTGAGGAAGGGGGCAGAGGGCAGCCTGTTACCGCAGGCCGTGCTGCTTAGGCTTTACCTTGGGACCTCCCTACACAGCAGTCCGGACCAACCTTGTGCTGAAGTGTCAGAAGCCACGTCCCCTGGCTCAGTCCCCCAGCCAGGGGGAGGCCTAGGAGAGCACCCGAGCCTCAGCCTGTCAGCCCCACCCGCTCTCCCAGTGCCTCCCCAGGCCTTCGGAGGAACAGGAAAGAGACCCTGGCTCTGGAAAGTGCTAGCACCTTCGCGCCTGTCCTGAGGAGGCTCACCTCCAGGGCAGGGATGGTTCTGGGTCTGAGAATGGGGCCTAGCCAGCCGCAGTATCAGGGGATAGGGGAGCCCTAGGGTGGAGGGGGACGTGTCTAGCGTGTGTGGTGTACACACACTCCTGGGGACGACGGTATATGCACAGTTAAAACACACTCGCATTTATATGAGGGGTGATACCCCAAAAACCCAAATTTATTAAAAAATTATATATTTAGCCAGGCTTGGTGGCTCAGCCTGTAATCCTGCACTTTGGGAGGCTGAGGTGAGTGGATTGCCTGAGTTCGCAGGTTCGAGACCCGCCTGGGCAACTTGGCGAGACCTCATCTCTACAATAAATCAAAAAATTAGCTGGGTATGTTAGCGCGCGCCTGTAGTTCCGGCTACTCGGAAGGCTGAGGTGGAAGGATCACCGGAGCCCAGCAGGGCGAGGCTGCGGTGGCCGGGAATGTGCCATTGCCCTCCAGCCTGGGCAACAGAGTGAGACTCCAACTCGAAAAAAAACAATATATATATATATATATAAAATTGTATATTTATTGCTATATGTTTAAAGTTCAGTCACTCTCAAAGTACTCTCTGATGCAATACACGGATCAAGACACTTTTCCCCTGGCTTAAAACAGTTTCTGAACTTGTCAATTCTGATGCCTTTCAGTGCTTCTGCAGTTTTTTGTTTCACCTCTTCCACAGCGGCAGAACGTTTCCCTTTGAGCACTTTTTTTCAACCAGGGAAACAAACAAACAAAAGATGCTGCTTGTGGCAAGATTGGGTGAATAGGGAGGCTGGGGCAGGGGGGTTATGCCGTATTTCATCAAAAACTGCCGAACACTCAGCAAGGCATGGGCAGGTACGCTTGTGAAAGGGGCAAACGTGTTAAAAGAATCTCCCAAAAGATTCACTGAAGCCACACACAGCCTCTCACAACACTAGCTGGTACAGCGGTAATGAGTTCCTAGAACACTTACTTAGCAGGCGAAGCCTGTACTACAAGGCGCTTGCCCTCCAAAAGATAATCTTGGGGTTTTCTGGGTCCCCCATCTGTCTGTATATGTATATGAGATAGGGTCTCACTGTGTTGCCCAGGCTGGACTGCAGTGGTGCAGTCACAGCTCACTGCAGCCTTGAACCCCTGGGCTCAAGCCATCCTCCTGCTTCAGCCTCCCAAAGCACTGGGACTGCAGACGTGGCCGCCGCACCTGGCCAAGCTACACAATATTATTATCATTATTATTCACTCATTCGCCCATGTCATGTACTGCACATGGAACACCTGCACAGTGTCAGGCCCTAGAGTTCCAAGCTATCTCCATTTCCTTATTACGTTTACAGACCAGGAGACAGCAGAGCCAAGAGGCTGGGTGTTTGCCGTGAATGGAGCCTGGGCCTCCCGACCCAGTCCAAGGTCCATTCCGTCATGTGGCCTCCGGCCAGAGGGCATCACGCCCACCAGACACGAGCCCAGAGTCTCTCCACAAGTTCTGGGCGAGCTCCAGCAGCGACCAGCCCTTGTGGGGTCCAGACGAGTACCCAGGACCACCCCTCCTCCCTGCACCCACCTACCTGGTTGGCATCACCCAGACAGTTGCTGCCGCTGCTGAGCTGGGTAGGCGTGGCATTGATGGAGGTGAGGGCCATGGGCTGCTGGGCCAGGAAAGTGGGCGAGGGCTGGAGCAGGGGCGGCGTGTGTCCAAAGGCTGAGCCCAGGCCCCTCTGCTGGCTCAAGATCTGCTGATAGGCCACGGGGTTGATGGGGTGGGGGAAGGTGAAGGCTGGGCTGCAGAGAAGAGCAGACGAGGGAGTAGGGAGGGGCGGGGCTGTTAGGCCGACATTTCTGAACAGAGAAGACCTGCCTGGGGGTCAGGGTTGGCTTGCTGTTGACATCGGCACAGTGTGGCTTCCCCTCACTCAAGAACTAGCTGTGGCTCCCTACTGCCTGCCACTCAGGTCTTACTGTCTGTGCTTAGCTCCCAGATTCTGCCCCCGGATGCAGCCTTCATTCTGGGCAGGTTGGCCTCATCAGGGGCCAGGCTCCATCTCACCCCACACCCTGGCCCCTCCGCTGCTCTGGCACCTGAGATGCATCCCTGCTCCCTGACTACTGAAGCCAATTTGGCTCCTGAAGCCTGTTCTGACGTTCCCTAGTCCCGGAAACATGCCTGGAGGCCCCAGGCCACATCACTCCCTCTCTTCTGACTATACTTCTAGCTTTATCTCGGCCTGTGAGTAGGAACCATTCTTTCCACAGCAGGACACGGAGGAAGTGTGGGTGACTCCCCCCCAGGCCAAGCCATCGTGGCTTCCTCTCTCCTGCTCATTCTTTCCTGCCTCGCTGCAAGGTGGGGTGGGACCCGGCTGCCATGCTGTGAGGACACTCAGGCAGCACTCTGGAGAGGCTCGTGGGTCCTGCCCACTGCCCTGTGCATGAACCTTCCTGGAAATGAACGCCAGGCTAGGCAGCACCTTCAGGGCACTGTGGCACTGCGTGACAGCTTAGCTCTGACTTGAGAGAGTTCGGACCCAGTGGGTCTCAAATTCCCGACCCTCAGAAATGGCAAGGTGACACATGCTTGCGGTTCCGAACTGCTCACTGCTGGGGCAACTCGCTATGCAGCCGAAGGTCACTAACGAATACTCGTGCTATTACTTCTATCTCCGGGTCCTTGGGCCGAACCCTCCTGACGTTCCTGACACTTTCAGCCTCTCTCAGAAGAGCTGGGAAGCAGTGAGTTTCAGTCCAGCAGGCTGGGGTCACTTCAGACAGCCAAGGGCTGCACAGAGGAGAGGAGGGTGACTGGTGCCCGCGAGGTTTGGGCACGTTCTGCAGTGGCCACAGAGGGAGGCTTGCGGCCAGGCCAGACTGGCTGGGAGCATGGGTCCATGCCAAGGTCCTGCCTCGTGCGGTCTCCGGCGCTAGCTAACACCTGGCTGCTCCACCACACCTGGTGAGATACTAGGAAAGCGCCTTTGACCTTGAATGCTTTTGGTCCATGAGATCGTGCTCAGACACTGGCACATTTCAACTGCATCACTATTGGTTTCGAATCCACGAAAAAGTTGCAAGCACACAGATTCTCGAACCGAACAGCCTGTCTTTCTCCTCAGGCTGAAAAGTGCCCTCCAAAAAGCCGGCCCCTCCCCTCCTGGCCCCAGCCCAACTCCCAGGCATCACGCCCCCCAACTGTTTGCAGGCCGTCACCTGAGGGTGCCCGCCGACAGGTGCCCATAGGAGCCGCTGGCGGCCGAGCTGCTGCGGGAATTGTTGATGTAGGCCACCAGCGAGTTGGGCGAGGTCCGGATCATCCGCTGCAGGTCCAGGCTGGCGTCTGAGAGCGGGGAGATGGACAGCGCCCGCTTGCGGCTCAGGCGGGGTGTCACCCGCGGGCTGGAGAAACGCGACACTGCAGGACAGCCAACACAAGGCCCCTCAGCATCGCCGAGCAGGGCAGGGGTGTCAGGCAGCCGGGCCCCAGGAGGAGCCCGCAGCACGGACTAGCGGGAACGGCAGCTCTGCCAACTTTCAGCTGTGGGCCCTTGGGCAAGGCAGGCAGCTTTTCCCAGCCTGTCTGTTCACCCATAAAAGGGTGCTGACCAGCACAGGGGGGGTGAGGCCCCAAGACGTGCATGCCAGGTGTTTAGGCGAGTGGATGTGAGCACTGGGCATGGTGTCCTTACCCACAGGGGCAGCGACCAGGGCAGGGACCCGGCAGGGCAGTAATGTGCATCTGTCATAGGTGATGCCTCTTACACAGCGAGCCCACCTGGGAAGCCAGCTTAGGCCAAAAACCAGGGCCTGGCCCGGTGGGCCCCTCGAGCCCTCCAGACCTGCGCCAAGGGCTGCCACACGCCTGGCTTCTGATGTGAGCAGTGTGTGAGATCTCTCCTTGCCATTGTGTGGCTGGAGAATTCCACGGGGAGAGGAGGGAATGGAGGTCAGTGTCTGGGATCGTTGCCGAAAGGGCCCCGGTAGGGCACTTCCAAGCGGAGGTCTAGATGGCAGTCCTCGACTCAGTGTGATGCCTGGGCCTTTGGCTGGCTCCGCAGAGCCCGCTGGGGGTGCTGCTGTGATGGGTGGGAGGCTGCGAGAACCCAGCAGTGAGATGCAGTCTGACATATGCAGACATGCTCTGGTATACTTCGGTCCTCAGCTCCGGGGTTGCCTGAGGCTCTGTGAACCGGTTGCTTTGAGTGTGCACACTCACACATGCAGACACACAGAGGTGTGCACACAGTTACACACACTACCCGTGCATGCAGACACGCACACACACAGAGTATACCCACACATACACATGCATACCCACCTGCACACACACACCCACGCATGCACAAGCTGTGCACACACAGGCTTGTCTTATCTGGCCACCCTTTGGACATGCCTTCTCTAGCTGCACACCTACATAACTGCGGAAGGGAAGATGGCCTGCTCTAGAACAGAGTTTCCCGCACCCCAGGGTCACAGCCTTTTCCGTTCTGGCTCTAGAATGCTCCCACCACACTGCCCACATCAGGGTTGTGGGTCTCTCCTCTGCACAGATGGTGGCCGAGACATGGTCTGACACCATCACTGGGCGACTCTTCATGCACCAAGGCTCCCCTGGCCATGCTCTCCCTGAGTACTTTCTCTTCTTTTTATTTTGTTTTAAAGATGTGGGGTACAATTCAGGGTTAGATATACAAATGTTGATTATGCAGCTACCCTTGTGGATGAGGTACGTGCCGTGTTGTCCATGGTCCCCCCCCCCCGCCGGCAGTTTCCCTCAACTGCTAATCCCACTCCCCCTCCCCTGGCGGTTTCTCTTTCTGTCTTGAAGGAGTCTTACAGCGCTGACTCCCAGGGCTGATGTGAGGCGTGAATTAGGGGATGTGTGAGAAGCGCCTGCGATGGTCTGTGGCCTCCAGGTTCCCCAGGGGCTGGGAGTTTTGTCCATAAACAACTCTGGTGGCTGTTCAAACACACCCATGTCCATGCTGGGCCATTCCCAGGCTTGTGATACCCGCCTTCTTCCCTTCCGCCTGCTCGACCTGTGCAGACCTCACCTAGGTGTCCCCTTCTCCAGGCAGGCTGCCCTGGCCGCAGGGTCAGCTTCACTTGGCCTCCCATTCACAGTCCACATGGTCCCTTGGTACTCCTATAGCTCTTTTCCTGGCCCAGCTAGGACCCGCTGACCTCAAGGCCGTTCTTAATTGTGCAAGCGCCTTGTCCCCAGAGATGCAGGAGCACTGAGGGCCGGGCTGCAGCTCTGGGATCCACCCTGGGCCTGGGGAGCAACTAGCCAGCCCTCCCCCATGCTTGGCCACAACCCTGGGGCGTGGAGGAATCCCTGGAAAAGCCCCTTTACTACTGGGCCACAGAAAAAAACGCCTCTTAGGTGATAGAGAGGACAGAAGAGGCCCCAGATCCCTGGGCCGAAAGGGTCTTCCAGGGTTTTCTCTCTCAACTGCCCCCATCATGGATGGCGGGGTCTGAAGCCGCAGAGGGAAGCGGACAGCAGTCTGGGATGAAGGGATCTGGGTACAGGGGCAGAGACCCGGGCTGGACCAATGGCCTTTGGTGGGTGGGCTGGGCATGCTCACAGACCACCTGGGGCTGGAGCCACAAGGTGACTCTGGGACTTGGGGCAAACCGCTTTACCTGTCAAAGACTCAGAACCTTCACCAAAGGCAAGCATAAAACAGGTCACCTGCTAGCTCCAGGGCTGTTGTGACCCCATGGGATGGCAGACGTGGAAGTGGGCAGCGCACTCCACAGCTGTCGCGTTCGTGCGGCCCTACACTTTGTATACAAGAGGGGACTCCAGAAACCCTAAAACTTACTTATAAAAATACTGTATTTGTTCTTACATGTCTCAACTTCCACCACCTTCGTAGTGCTCTCTGTTTGATGCAGTACACCTGTCGAGATGCTTTATTCACCACTCAAAGCAGCGCTCGCCAGTTTTGATGCCTTTTAGTGCTTCTGCTGTTTTTTGTTTCAGCTCTTCCGCATCGGCAAAACGTTTCCCTTTGAGGACTTTTTTCATCCGGGGAAACAAAAAAAGTTGCTTGAGGCAAGATTGGGTAAATAGAGAGGGTCCATGCCATTTTTTTTTGCTGAAAAACTGCTGAATACTCAGCACTGTGTGAGCAGGTGCACTCCCAAATGCAAACGTGTGAAAAGAATCTCAAAACAAAACAAAACAAAACAAAACCAAAAACCACTGAAGCCAAACGCAGCCTCTCGCCATAACTTAGCTGGTACACTGATGCTGATGAGATCCTAGGACACTTACCCTAGAGGGGAAAACCTGTACTATCAGGGGTCCAGCCTCCAAAATAACTCCATTTCTTTTGAGGTTCCCCCCCTGTACTATGCTTTCAACAAGAAGGAGGAAGTGATTTCAGGAATGCTCCCAGCTGGAAGAAAAAGTTGAGCTGATCAGAATACTCTTTTCTCTCAACATCCTTGTCAGCAGAAGTTTTTTGTTTTTTTCTGTTTATTCTGCAGGCTCCCGAGGCCTGAGATGTATAGATCTTTCAGCAAGCAGAGTTGTGGTGGGTGTACAGGAATAGATGCTTTTGGAGATGCTGGCTTGCTGTGCCCCACGGGGGCCAGGGGCACGCAGGTAACTCACCAGCACAACTCCATCTTTCTGTGGTGGCAGGAAGGACCCCAGCCCACACACCTAAGGCATGGGCGGTGGGGTTGGGGGCGATGGAGCAGACCCCCTTTCCTGCCAGCACCGAGGCTGTGCTGCCGATGTGACCCCCATCCTGAACAGGGCTCCCAGCCGGCAGACAGACACGTTCTGGCCGGCGTGTGTCCCTTCGGGTGGCATTTGATGTCTCTTAAGTGCTTGCTTCTGAATTCCTGCATGGGTAGCAACTCAGCAACTGGCACCCTGTAGTAACATTCATACTCACTGCTTTGGTGAACAGTCACCAGCACCTTCCAAGCAAACCCAGCTTTGCAGATAAAGAAACTGGGTTTGGGAGATCAGTGATTTGCTCAGGGTCACAGAGCTGCAGAGGCAGGATTTGAACCCAGCACCAAAGAAGTCCTGCTGCAGGGACTTCCCGGGGACTCTGTGTCCTCCCTGTCCACTTTCAGAGAGGTGGAGAGAGTCCTGGGCATCGCTCCCTGCCCACAAGCGGTTTCCGACCTCTGATGAAGGGTGAACCAGCCACTCTGGCCTCACCTACTGCCTGAAGGCATCTCCGGGCTCAGCACGGTAGTCCCAATGCTTCACCTGTGCCTGGACTGGCTTCCCCTGCAGGGCTGAGCTTGGCGAGTGCTTGCCAACCACGTGGTAGCCGAGTAGGGGACCGGGAGCCGGCCTTCCCTCCCGCCCTCCTTCCCCATTCCGCCTTCCACACCTCCTCCTCACAGCCCCTTCCTCTCAAACTGCACCCCAGCTCGGCCCACCACTTGCCCGGCTCCCTGTGGGGCCCCTAGCGGACGGCTGTCCAACGCTCAGTCAGGGAGCGCTTCTCGCTTGGAAGTGAGGTCAGGCCTCTGTCCTCCCCTAGTCAGCCCACTGCTGGTGCAATGCCAGCCTCCATGGTGGCCCTGCGCGTGTCCTCCCCCCAGCCACCCCAGCTTCCTGCCAGCTCTTCCTTCGTGTCATCTGCACAGGGTCTTCGCACCTGTGGCTTCCTCTGCCCGCAGCACTCCTCCTCTCTTTCTGCTCAGACCTCACTCAACTGCATCATCGCCTCCCCTGAGAAGCCTTCCCTGATCCACCCTGAGTTGGGCAGAGCCCCCCCACTCTCAGGCCTCTCTCTCCAAAGGAGGTTCGCGCTGGTGGGTTCGCGTCCACCTGTGTGGCTATCCTGTCTCTCCCTTCTCCTCTCCGTGGGTTAGGGACTCTGAGCCCTTCCCACCTGACCATGGTATTCCCAACCCCCGTCACAGATGGCTCAGCAGGGAGCCTAGCAGGGGTGCCAGGGGTTGCCCTAGGCAGGCCCAGCAGGGAGAGAGCAGAATCACCGCTACCCGAAAGTCAGCCCTTGCTGAATGCCACACCGTCAGTGCCACACCATCAGGTCTGTGTGCTAGGGACTCTTCTGAGCACTTTGCCGTGTTAAGTAACTTCATCTTCACAACTGCCCCATAAGGGAGGGGCCATCATGAGCTCATTTCACAAAGGACAAAACAAAGGTCAGGCGGGGTAAGTCGCTTGCCCAAGGCCACACAGCCAGGGGGAATGGAGGCCAGGACTGGAGGGTGGGGTAAGTCACTTGCCCAAGGCCACACAGCCAGAGGGAGTGGAAGCCAGGACTGGAGGGTGGGCACAGGGATACTAAAACCAGGGACACACACACACACACACACACACACACACACAATGTGGAGGTGGAGACAACCTGCACCGCTGGCCACCCCAAGCCTGTCACTTTGTGGCTTCCTCAGAGAGCGCTG